GGAGAAGGGCTTCTGCCGGTGCAGCCCAATCCCCTGCCTTTTGGAACAGCTGAGGGGCGGTGGTTTGAAGCTCAAACGCACGCCCCTCATCTGTTCCAAAAGACGGCGGTTTGGGCTGCTCCAGGAGAAGGGCTTCTGCCAGTGCAGCCCAAACCCCTGCCTTTTGGAACAGCTGAGGGGCGGTGGTTTGAAGCTCAAACACCCGCCCCTCAGCTGTTCCAGGGAGTCCCAGCATGGCTGGGATAGGCGGGCGGGGCGGCTCCCAGCGGCGGCGGGGGCAGGGGGATCTGGATGGCTTCCAGGCAAAGCACTGGAATCCATCCGGACCCCCCCACCCTCCCTGCCCCCGCTGCTGCTTGGAGCTGCCCTGCGCCCGGTTTCCCAGCCATGCTTGGACTCCTGGAGTGGGGAATCAGCTGTTTGGCGGTTCCAAAATGGCCGCCGGACACCTGAAATGGCCCCGCGCAGCATTTTCGCGCCCTGCCCTCGCTTACCGAGGGCGCAAAAATGGCTCCCGCTATAGGGAAACATCGCAGAATGGTGAGTTTTGTGCCCATTAGGAACGCATTAAACGAAGTTTAATGTGTTCCAATGGGTTTTCCCGTTCCGTATAGCGATGTTTCCCCATAACGAAGGTTAATCCGGAACGGATTAACCTCACTATGCGGGGCACCACTGTATATTGAAGAAAATCAGTGTGGCTTTATAGTAGGGAGACAAATGGCCAATTTGACAAGAAGATTCTAAATAGCATACACATAATAGGAAAGCAAAAATTGAAAGCTGGTATAATTTCATTAGATATTTTTAAGTCCTTTGACTGCATGGAATGGCCAGCATTGAATATGATAATAGAAATATTAGGATTTGGGGAAAATTTTAGAGATGTGACAGGGCAATTATATTCAGCAAATACTGCATCTATTATTGCAAATGATGGTCTAACAGAAGAACAAATATCCCTTGGCTGGGGTACTAGACAAGGATGTCCCCTTTCCCCAATTTTGTTCGCAATAGTTATAGAAATATTAGTGGATGCTATTAGGAAAGATAATTTAATCTGTGGCATAAGGACCAATGATAAGACTAAAATTAGTTTATTTGTGGATGATTCTCTTTTATTAATAGAAAATCCCTTAAGAGTGATGGATAGGGTAAAATTACATTTTTCAGAGTTTGGAGAGATAACTTGGCTACAGGTAAATTGGCAGAAATCAGAGATAAAGATGTTTAATTATAATAAAGAAGAAAAAGATCTATTCAGGGGGAAATTTAATATTAAGGTTGGGAATTCACTTAAGTATTTAGGAGTACATACGTATACCAAAGAATCTACCTAGATTAGGGGAAGAAAATTTCAAGAGATTGAAATGTGAAAATTTATTATACGAATATCAAATTATCATGGTTTGGCAGAATAGCCATGGTTAAAAAGAAGATTTTACCCAATATTATTATTTTTTTATTTAGGATGCTACCAATAGAATTACCTGAAGAAGAGATATATGATTTGCAATTTATGATTAATAAATTTTGTAATTGAGATAAAAAGGCAAGAATTAAAATTAAGAGAATGGTATAAGGCTCAAAAGATAGGAGGGATGAGACTTCCTAATTTAAAGAATTATTATGTAGCTCATCAGTTAAGACATATCGGAGATATCATTGCACATCCTAAAAAATTAATATGGTGGGGTTTGGAGTCAATTGAGCTAGATCTAAATCTTGAAAATATTATTTTAAAATCATATAATAAAAATAGAGGTAAATAATTAGTAATCCTTTCTTGAAAAATATGTTATTAATTTGGAATAAGTACAAGAATATGCTCAGTCCACTAATATCACCATTATGTCCAGTGAGTGAACTGGAAATCTTTCCTAGGAATCTGAAAAATCTGGAAAGTGTGTTAAGAAGGCAGAAAGTAATTGAATTAAAGGATTAGGTAGAAAGGATGGGGAGTAAAGAGCAAGTAAAAAACATATTAGGATGGGAGAAATTGTCATGGTTCAGTGTGTTGCAATTAGAGAGGTGGATAAAAGACTGGTTGAGGAAAAATTGTACAACTGTAAACATAGGGAAGTTACAAAATTAGAGGAAATGTTATTACCAAAGGAAAATCTAGCAGAAAACAAAGCATTGAAAGGTATAGTAAAATTTACAAAATATTAATTAAAGCAAAGGATGAACAAGATCCTCTGAGAGTTTTATGGGAACATGATATGAGGGAAGTGATAAACACAGAGGGATGGAAAAAAATATGGGATGTAAGAACAGTGAAATCCATGTCTATAAGAATTAAAGAGAATTTTTATAAGATTGTTTGGTGATGGTATCTAATTCCAGTGAAATCAAATAAATCAAAATTACTCTATGTTGTGCTGGAGGGGATGCCAGAAAACCGGCACATATTTTCATATGTGGTGGGAATGCTGGGAGTAGAAGTCCAACAACATAAGAAGGCTGCGCTTTGCTCATCTCTGAATTAGACTTAACAATGATTTGACTGAAATCAATTAGACTTGACCTAGTCATAATTAATCCAATAACTTTGATTCTACAAATAAGTAAGTCTGGATTCAGTCTAATGGCCAGAATTCTGGTTAGCATGTAATGCTGAAAGCATCATCGACCATGGCTTTTTATATTTAATTAAAAGTTTTGAATTCTATCCTTTCAACCTAGGGAAGCCTTTGGGTGCTTTGCGATGTGGATGAACCTTTGGTGTCCAAAAATTGCCACCACCAGTCCCAGTCTTGGTGACAGTTTCAGTAGTTATAATTTTTTGACCCTAAAGTCTCTCCTTCCTTGTCCCAAGATGCCCAAAGGCTCTGCCAGGTCAAAAGGGATCCCCAGAGAAGCTTGGAAGCTGAAGCACTAGGGCAGAATAGTGAACTTTTAATTCAAGATAAAAGCCAGTGGCTGATGACATAATCAGTCCTGTTCTTATAAGAGTCTTGTGTGTCAATAGAAGTCAGGCCAATTTTTAATTAGCTCGTTGTGGCATTCCTTTTGCTCTTAAAATAAGTTGGTTGGCATGAAAACCAATGTGTTAGAAAGTTGAATAAGGCACTTTTTAAAAAAAGGTTAAAGTTTAGATGCACCAGGAATATTGGGAGGTAGCACCCCTGTTGCTCAGGTGGTCTGGACAGACACTGCATCTATATGGCAAAATTTTCTGTTTTGTTACCAGGTTCACACTCTGGGGTGTGGATAACACAGGAAGGCGCTCACAGTCAAGCGATGTAACAGTGAAGACCCCTTGCCCAGTAGTGGATGATGTGAAGGCCCAAGGTAACGGTGGTGCTGCAGGTGCAGGACATAGAGTCTGGCCTGCGGGCATTCATATATAAGCAAACATTGTTGTTGTTTATAATTGAAAATGTTCATGCAATGTAAATAACAGAAGAGGTTGCTAGCATCATCCAGGAATAAAGAGTATAGAGGTCATAGGAGGGGAGAAGATTGCTGAAAACGCCCAAAAGTCTTGCAGCTATGGAAAACTGTAGATAAAAATGCCAAAATATATATGAAAATTTAACTTAGTTGCAGGCAAATACTTGTCAGAATTCAATCCAAAATACAAGACCATAAAAAGTACAATAAAATACTGGAAAGTATGTTTTAAGTGCATTCTAAAAATGCAGAAACATATAGCCAAAAAAGGTACAGTTAAAAAGCAGAGAATACATCTGTAAAAGACATCATTTAAAAGTAAAAAATATTCTATCTTTGAGTAATATTTAGCCTCTAAGCATATTATAATGACACACAGAAAATTATTCTAAGTGCTCACCCAGCCAAACCAGTTTGAATCTATGGAGGAAAATCCATGTTGTCCTCCATAGATTCTGACACTTCCTGGTATCAGTGTTGTTGGTATCTGGGGTGGGTCTGGTGTGGTGGCATGTGGAACTGCATGCATATGTCTCTTGCCCCCCTATATTTATATTTCTGTCAGATGTTTACATTTTCCTTCAATTGTAAATAATTGTTTTTTGCTGTTTTATTAACGTACTAGAACTTAATATACAGATGACAAATTTATAATGGAAGTTTCTGTTTATTTTATGGGGATGGCAAAGTATGACTCCAGTAAAACAGAATCTGGCAAGCTGACACCATAACAATGTCATTATTTTGACTAACAGGGGTTCACATTTTGCTAGGCCAGAGAGTTCCCTGAGATTAAATTACTGAAAGAATAAAATAGGGTAGAACAAATTGCAGGATCAGTAAATGTCACCTTCAGGTCATATTAACATACTGCAATGTTTTACATAATATAAACCAATTATTTTAATACCTTTTCAATTATCTCCTTTGCTTGGGCTTTTTTTATAAGTTGTAAACACTTTCAGTTGACAGAGGTGAAAGAAATTCTTTTCCAAGGCAATGTTATTGTACAGTGACTTTGCTTCCATATTCAGCTGGTGATCTGACTGATTGTTTTGCAGTGACTTTTAGTATAAATCTGTTCAAACCTTATTTTTAAAGGACAATGTATATTTTCAGGGCTGTATTTTCTACACACACCCTTAAATTTTTTTAGCACTCTATACACTCAAAATTCCACACCTTGACTTAACTTTCTGAACCATTTGCTACCCCTTGCAGACAGCTCTTTGCTATGAGATATTAAGGAGTCCTCCTATATCTGCTATCTTCCTCCTTTCTCAAGGTGAGTCTTTATTTTCATCATTGAGAAGGAGGAGCGGATTGAACAGTGAAGTGTGAACCTATTTGAGAAGGATCAAGCACGTGGTAACTGTAATGCTCAGGCCTCCCTAAGGAGTGCTTAGCACTCAGTCAGAGAGTTCGACAGGCTACTTACCTACCACCTTTGAACTGAGGCCTAAGGCCTCAGCAGTGCAAAGTGTAAGCCCCTTGGATAAGTCTGACCTTAAAAGAACACTTTACTTTGCAAGTACAGACACATAGGCTTTGTGATTCCTTAGAACTCACAACAGCTCAGTTAGGTGGGACTTTTAAAGATAGCTAGCTTGTGGCCCTCTCCACCTCCTGGATTTAGCCAGACCCTGCTGTTCAAGAGACCAGTCCGTTTGTAAGAATTTTTATAATTAATTTTTATTAGAAAAATAGAGTTTCATAGAATCAGTTTATATTGCTCGAGATTTAACATAAAGAACATATTCAAGATTTATTACATTTAAATAAAATAACTAATCACCATTAAAATAATAAACATTACTAAGCTGGGCTAAGGTGGGCTAGCCCCACCTCCTTCTTTCTCTTCACTTACATGCTCTCTCCTTCAAGCCACATGCTCAAACCATCAAGTTTTTTTTCTCTCCCATCATCATGGAATGGAACTTCTGAACTCCTTTCACATAACCCATCATCCATTTTCTACATTCTCTAACTCCTCCCTTCTTCTTGAAACTTCATGGCTGTTAACCAATTAGCTTCTAGGGGCTATAACACCTTCCTCCTCTCTCAGTTCCCATGAAAGTCAAAGTGTTGTATCTCTTCTCCAATTAGCTCGGAATGTTGAGTCTTTCACGGGTTCCTTGGTCCTTTAACTCAAACCATGCTGTACTGATTTTCAGAAAAACACTCTAGCACTTAGAAAAACCGCATTACATCGTCTTTCAAATCTTCTTCATACAGAACCTGTCTGACTTCATCTTACATTTGTCTGATTACATATCCCATAGTGCTTCAACTCCATGACAGTAACTGCCTTGACTGAGCTTGCACATCAACATTCCAGTGAAGGATTTTCTTAGTCAAGTTGACAAGGCTGTATGCTCAGCAGGCACTTAGTTGAGATCAAGTGCTGCATCACCTGTTCCAGAATGACTTAGAAAAGGAGGAGGGGAAAAAGAAGACAAGTGCATGGACATAGGACTAAGAATGCTGTGCTCTAACTGTCACAGAGGTGGTCAGCCTGTGGAGTCAGGGCTAATCCCTGCTTCAATCCTTCTTTTGCTTTTACTATAGCATTAGATCTCACCAAGCCCCACTTCCCATGTGTGGCTATCCACCCACATATTGTTTTTTTTTTCCTTTGTTCACTATAAATCATGCTGTGTCAAGACAAAGCTGATATTCTTGCTGATGCTCTGTTGTTGTTATGTGCCAACAAGTTGCATTTGACTTCTAGCAATTCTACTAGGGTTTTCAAGTTATGTGCAATATTTAAAGAGTTGTTTTACTGTTAGCAGCCCCAGTGAATTTCCATGGCCAGGCAGAGATTTGAACCTAGATCTCCCAAGTCCTAGTACATCATTATCTACTTTACTACATTGGCCCGAAGCATTCTCTAGATTAGTCTTTATTGGACAGATTAATGTTTCACCTGTTTTCTTTTAATTTACATTCAGAAATAGCAGACAAGATCTACAACCTCTTTAATGGCTACACTAGTGGAAAGGAGCAACAAACTGCCTATAACACCCTGTTGGACCTGGGCTCAACAAGTCTTCATCGTGTCCTCTATCACTACAACCAGCACTATGAGAGCTTTGGGGAGTTTACCTGGCGATGTGAGGATGAACTGGGACCCCGGTAAGAGGCTCCTTGGATATACTGCATAATAATTGGGGATTCTGACATAACATTTATTTTGGCAGAATTGCCAAAGCATTTGTCTTTAGTCTTGACTTCTTCATTACAGTGCACATCATACAGATAAGTAAACCTAACCAGAAGTGTTGAAAGTAGAGATGCGGTGTTCAAGTGGATAAACTCCTGTTAAAGATAATGAGTTCCAGTTTCTTTTTGTTCAAGAGAGAAACATGAAGTCTTAAGGGAATCTGATCCATTGGATTAAATAATTTAGAAGTGGTCATATGGTAGTGGGTTTTCTATTTCAATTATTCATGCTACAAGTAAAAAAATGTGATAGTTGAAACTTGTATGGAAATTTTTTTTGCAATATGTGAAGCATGCCACTCTGAACAAAAGCACAGATCCATAGCTTCCCTGCATGCAGGTATTTTTCTTTTGGGGGGGGGCGGAAATGAATGGTGGCAGAGCAGAAAAAAAGAGTAGAGTGAGGAGAGCACTGGAGTGTATCTCGGCTGTAAATTCAAACAGAATTAATAATAATTATCTTTCCTTGGGAAATGCTCAGGATTGGTGAATTCTAACATAATTTTTCAGTATTCTCCCCAAACTAGGATTCCCAGAATTCTTTTGGGAAAATGCATAACAGATAAACTGGCCTGAAACTGATACAGGGATAGTTCTGCTCATGGGTCAGTGTGTGAAAAGTGGTGACATATATTGAGTATCAAAGGACTCACAGACAAATACTTGATTTACTTGGATTTTCATCCAAGTGACAAAGCAAATTTACTGCATGCAGTTTGGTGCACTTGTAAATGGAAGGTCTGAGTTTCTACAGATAACATGATTCTTTTCTATGGGGTGTATATTTATGGCTACATCTAGTAGGATATCTGACATAGTTTTTCAAAACATTTGTGTTTTGGTCCAATGGCTATTGGTCCTGATCACAGTCTCCATATTAATACCAGTGACAATACTCACAATTTTCTCTCTGATGGTACTGTAAGCTACCCCCGTCTCCAAGGAGATTTAGGGGTGCCGGAGACAGAGAGATTCCAGAGATTCAGTCAGTCCTTATGGGGCTAAGATGAGCCCAAACCTCAGCCAGGCCCCTCACTGATTCTCTTTCATCAAGTCTATCCCTTTTGTTAAGAAAAGGCAAGAAACACAGACAATCCATTAGTTAACACTCAAGTAAAATCTGGGCTCTATATGGTAGCAAAATATTCGTGGCCAATTAGTTAGGCTAGTTTGTACAAGAGACCAATGCAAGTCATCTTAAACATTATTGCTTTTATTAAGAAATATAGTTCTAAACAGAATTCAGATTATAGCAAAGAAATTCAGTAAGTAATGTCGCAAACACAGGTTCGAAAACACACGTGTAAGCTTGGACAGAGAGCAATCAGGAGTTTGCACATGCTAAAATGGGCTGAAAGAGTCCAATTCAGCTAGCCATGCTACAACACTCCTTCTCACAGGTCTGCCCACATAAGAACACCCTGGTACTCTCAGATATTATTGTGAAAAGGTCAAGTGGGCTTTGTAGTCCTTAGACTTAACTTGCACCACTGACAGGACTCTAAGTAAGCTAGGCCGAGGCAGCACTCTCAGATGACCCTATGACAAGTGTACTGTTCAGGAAACCAAATGAGTTTTATAATCTTTATTTTATTAAAGAAAAAGCATGTTACTAAG